CCCCCATACACAGAGATAGAGAGAGAAAGGTAAGTAACAACCCCTAGACAGTTTTTAATTGTTATTACAGGATGTGGTAAAGAAAGACCTGTGGAGATAGTCAGCCATGCAGGAATATCTGTAAGGAAGTTATTGTACATACTCTAGGCTGGTGGGAGTGTGCTAGGGGGTAGTAGAGGAAATAACCAAACAGACTTTTACTCAATTTGAGGACAAAGATCCTAATTAATCTGTTCAACAGTTGATTAGATTGTGTGGGTAATGACTTCTCTGTTTGGGGAGGTCTGCAAGCAGCAGCTGGGGATATTGTTGAGGATGTTCTAGAGGGGGCTCCTGCTTCAGGAATGGGTTGAACTAGTCCTCTAAAGGCTGGTTGTATCTCTAGAAAGTCTCTTTTAACAATAAGATTTTGTGAATCTTGACCTGTTGCCCATGATTAATACCTTTCTTATTCTGCTTTTGTCTCTGGTTTCTCCTAAAGCAAAATGATGGGCAATTCACAGTTATCCAGCTAGTGGGGATGCTTCGGGGCATTGCTGCGGGCATGAAATATCTGGCAGACATGAACTATGTGCATCGAGACTTGGCCGCCCGGAATATCCTGGTCAATAGCAACTTGGTCTGCAAGGTGTCTGACTTTGGACTCTCACGCTTCCTGGAAGATGACACCTCGGACCCCACCTACACAAGTGCCCTGGTAACTAATGCAAAGAGAAAAGGCAGTCATTTGAAGAGGAATGGGCAAGCTAGCAAAGCCTGGGGCAGCAATACCAGGGAGGCAGAAAAAAAAAATCACTGGACCAAGTTTCCCATTGTCTCATAAACCTAAGAAGTGCTTCCCCCTATAGACTGCAGACAGATGATCCTCTGACGTGCAGGATGGAGGATAACGTCGACTATTATTCCTTTGGATGTTGATTTTAGAGACAGGAAACTGAGACCCAAAAAGAAAGACTGAACCCAAAATGACAGGCAAGCATGCATGAGTCCCATTCATGGCCCTCAGAAAAAATCTCTCAGAGTGACTCAGAGTTTCATAGACCTTGAGAACAATTGAAAATCTCATAGCACAGATAGAGGAATCATAGATTATCAGAAATGGAAGGAACTTCTGATTATAGAATGTCACAACTGGAGCTAATCTTAGACCATAAAATTTCAGAGCTGATGATGACCCTAGATCATAGAATGTAGAACTGGAAGGGACCTCAAAGCATAGAATGTCCATCCTGGGATGGACATCGTAACAGATTACATACAGAACATAGACCATTAGAACATATACCTGATACCCTCCACTGTGAAGTGGTAACACTTTTATCAATGACCTGAATGAATACATAGGTAGTGTATTTATTGAATTTGAAGACAGAACAAAGCTAACAATACAATGGATTCCATTCAATCCAGTAAGCATGTATGTAAGATTATGCCAGAATTGAGATCTAAAAAGCTCTTAAGAGACTGGAAAAATGGACTGAATCTAATAAAAGAAAATGTAATAGGGATAGAATTTAAAGTCCTAAACTTTAGTTTTATATATGTGTGTGTGTGTATGTGTGTATATACATATATATATATATATATATAATTTATTTTGATTTATCAACAATCACTTCCATAAGCTTTTGAGTTTTAAAATTTTTCTCCCCCTCCCTCCCCAAGACAGCACACAATCTGATATAGGCTATACACTAAACTTTAGTTTAAAAAAAAAATCAACTATACTAGAGTAGGATGGGGAAGATGTGTTTATATGTTTTAGTAGATTGCAAGTTCAATGAGAGATAGTCCCATGACTGCTAATAAGAAGAAGAAGGAGGAGGAGGAAATGATGATGACGATGATGATGATGTTGGAGAAGGAGGAGGAGAAGAAGAAGATGATGATGATAATGATGATGATGATGATGAAGATGGTGTCCATAAAAAGGGAGAAGATGATTTTTTTTCATGAGCCCAGGAAAGGCCTATAGGGAGCTCCTCAGGACCCTGTGTTCTTTCCTGGACCTTTCTCAGTCTACTAAAGCTCAAATTCGTCCCCAGTAGGTCATATAGGATGGTAAAAATGTGTGCAGTAAGAGGACCAGAACTGGAGATGTTTATCCTGGAGAAGGGAAGACTCACGGGAGACATGAGAGTTGTTTTCAAGTATTAGAAAGGCTGTCATGTGCAAGAGGGATGTATGGGGCCTGTCTGGCCCCAGGAGGCAGATTCAGGAACAATGAGTGAAAGCTATAAAGAAGCTAATTTAGGCTTGAAGTCATGAAAAATTTCCTAACCTTGATAGCTGCCAGAAGTGAAATGAGATAGTGGAGAATATAGTGGGTGTTCTCCCTCGCTGGAGGTCTTCAAACAGAAGCAGGCTGGCCGCATGTCAGTTATATTATAGTAGATATTATATTAAATATAACAACATTATACAGTGTTATATAGTATATTATAGTCTAATATAATATATTCTTTTTTGGTTATGAGTTGGACTAGAAGGACACTATGGACCCTTCTGACTCTACATATCTGGACATCAGTGATTCCTTCTTTCTCTCTCCCCAGGGTGGGAAGATCCCAATACGCTGGACAGCTCCAGAAGCCATCCAATACAGGAAATTCACATCTGCCAGTGATGTGTGGAGTTATGGAATAGTCATGTGGGAAGTGATGTCCTATGGGGAGAGGCCGTACTGGGACATGACCAATCAGGATGTAAGTTTTCAAGGGAACAGAAACAGAGCCTTTGAAATAAGCAAGATCTTTTGCCAAAATATCCAACAGAAGGAACCCACATTTTTTTTCTAACTGCGGTAATTTCTCAGAGGGAGGGAGGAGACTGAAGTCATGGAGCTGGTCCAGACACCACAGGGTGGGAGATGATAGCTATTGAAAGCCCTTGGCCCCAGCCCCCTAACAGGTGTCTACCAGATGCTGGCTGTTTCCGGGACACAGCCCAACATCTGCCTCCAGGTTACTTAACAGGGTCTGTACTGACAGGTCTCTGCTCTCATAAATGGCAGAGCCCGTTGGAATAACCTATCAGATGATCAGACAATGATCAGAAATTGATTGAGGACCTGCCGCGTCACCAACTCTGGTTCTGTATGCTGTGATGGGTAAAAGGAATATGGTGCCTGGTCTTTGCCCTCAAGAAGTGTACAAACATAGGCTCACAAGGGACCGTAGAGGCCCATATGATCCAAATTCTCTGTTTTACAGAGAAGGAAACTGAGGCCTAGAGCCTGGGCTCTGACTTGCTCAAGGTCCCACTGTAGCAAGAGGCAAAGGGAGGATTCAGCCGAATCTAGTCCACTCTCCACTGCACCCCACTGCTTCCCAAAAATCTTGTTAGGGAGTCAAGACTAACACGCATGTAATCATAGCCTGTGGGAGGCAAAGATCCATATTAGAAATGGAAAGGACTTTAGAACAGTGTCAGGGCTGGGAGGGCCCTTAGAACACAGACCTCGGGGCAGCTGGGTGGTGCAGTGGATAGAGCACTGGCCCTGAAGTCAGGAGGACCCAAGTTCAAATCCGGCCTCAGACCAAACACTTGACGCTTACTAGCTGTGTGACCCTGGGCAAGTCACTTAACCCCAATTGCCTTGAAAAAAAAAAAGAACACAGACCTCCCTGGGCCTCAGTTTCCTTGTCTGTAAAATGAGTGGAAAGAATAAGAAGACCTTTGTAGTCTCTTCCAACTTTGATCTGTAAGTAGGTGAAGAGGAACACTGAGAAATAAGGATGGAAAATTAAGTTGAAACGAGATTGTGGGGATCCTTAAATGCCGGGCCAAGAAGTTTAGATTCTATTCTAGAGAATAGAAGGAGCCCAGTAGTAATCAATTATTATTGATACTTATCTGGGTAGATGTTGTATCCCCTACCCCAAAAGACTGTAAGCTGCCCGAGGTCAGAAACTATCTTCCTATTGTCTTCATATCTTCAGTGCCTGCACATAGTAGGTGCTTACTAAATGCTTGTTGGTTGATTCATTAATGCTGTTCTTTCTGTTTCTTCTGCTATTTTGATACTATGGAAGGAGCACCAGACTTGGAATCAGAAGAGCTGAGTTTAGGTACCAGCTCTGCCCTGTGACCTTGGGCAAGTCACTTCCCCTCATCAGCCCTCAGTTTTCCCATCTGTAGAATGGGGTTAATAATACTTGGATGAGCCACCTCACAAGATTGTTGTGAGGGAAGAGCTATAAGATGCCTTAAAGTTCCAAGGGATTATTATGATCATCACCATCTCCATCATCATTATCATCTTTTTTTTTTTTGGTCTGTCAGGTAATCAACGCCATAGAGCAAGACTACCGGCTGCCCCCTCCCATGGACTGCCCCAATGCCCTGCACCAGCTCATGCTGGACTGTTGGCAGAAGGACCGGAACCACCGGCCCAAGTTTGGGCAGATTGTGAACACATTGGACAAAATGATTCGAAACCCCAACAGCCTCAAAGCCATGGCACCACTCTCCTCTGGGTACGGTTCCCACGCCACCCCACAGGCGCATTTCAGCCCAGTGTAGCACAAGGGCCCTTCACCTTTTTTGTGTCCCAGACCCTTTGGACAGTGTGGTGAAACCTAAGAATCCCTTAGAATAATGTTTTTAAATGAATAAAATGAAATATGTAGGATTGCAGAGGAATACAATTATGGATTACATATCTGATTATCATTATAGATTATTATTATTAATATTATTGCATAGATTACATATACAATTATATCTCTATATTGTAATATAGTTTTCCAGACATTGAAAACAGAAAGTTTACAGACCTCAGATTAAGGCTCCTCTGATAGGGAGGAAGAATTTCCTAAAAAATCAGAGCTATCCAGCAGTAGGATGAGGAGGTGGAGTGTTTCCTGGCATTTGAGGTCAAAGGTCAGATGGGTACCTGCTGAGGATATGGGAGAGGCAGATCACGCTTCAAACACGGCCTGGACGAGATGAGCCCTCATTAGATTCTTCCTCTCTGGGCTTCCATTTCCTCATCTCTAAAATGAGTGGGTTGGGTCGGAAGGCCTTGAAGTTCTTCTAGCTCTGACATTTTGTGTTCTAAAGTGTCTCCCACTTCTGACATCCATTGTGCAAAGACCCCTTCCATCTCTGACTCTGTTTTCTAAGGTCCTGCCCTGCTTTGACATTCCCTGTTCTAAGGACTCTCTCAGTTCTGCTATTCTGTGTTCTAAGCTCACTCCCAGTTCTGATATTCTCTGTTCTAAGCTTACTTCCATCTCTGACATTCTCTGTTCTAAGGCCCCTCCCAACTTTGATGTTCTCTGTTCTAAGGGCCCTCCCAGCCCTGACATTCTCTATTCTAAGGGCCCTCCCAGCTCTGACATCCTGTGTTCTAAGGGCCCTCCCAGCTCTGACATTCTGTTCTAAGACCTCTCCCATCTTTGACATTATCTGTTCTAAGGCCCCTCCCAGCTCTGACACCCTGTGTTCTAAGGTCCCTCCGAGGTCTGATATTTTATGTTCTAAGGTCCTTCTCAACTTGAACGCTCTCTCTTCTAAGATCCTTCCCAACCCTAACTTTCTGTGTCCATAAGTTCCCTCCCAGCTCTGACGCTGAGTGTTCTCAAATGCCTTCTAGCTCTGACACTCTATGTTCTAAGTGTTCTAAGGCCCTTTTAGCTCTGACATTCTGTGGCCCAAGGGCCCTTCCAGTTCTAACATTCTGTGATTTAAGATCACTTCTACCTCTAACATTCTCTATTCTAAGGTCCTTTCCAACTCTTAACGTTTTGATTCTAAGCTGTTGTTGCTTTCCCCCAAAAGACCCCCAGGCCGGTATCCTAGCCTCTAATTTACAGCAGTCCGTTGAGACTTCCATGACAGTTCCCCACCCTGGTCTTTCCCTACCATTGAGAGAGACAAGGGAGGGGAGTGTTGAGCTCAGGATGGCACCATTCATTTCAACACATAGTTCTGGAGCCCACTATGGGCCCAACACTTCGAAGGAGCCCAAGAAGGGGAACAGCATGATTGTGTCCTCCAGAAGCCTAAAACTTTGTTGAAAATCAGTATGGCTTGGGGTCACCATCGAGGATGATAAACTTCCTCAAATGTTGAAAGAGGACAGTTCCAGGTCCTCTGGAAACAACCCCTGTGCCCTCAATAACGGTAGACTCCAGAGCTGGCAGCAACGCACATCATGTCACTGGACCCTTACAGCAACCCTGTGAAGTAACTGCTAGTAGAGTCTTCATTTTTCCCATGAAGGCCTAGAGAGTTTTCAGTGACTTCGCCAGGGTCTGAAGCAGGATTGGAAGTCGGATCCTCCTGACCCCAAGGCTAAGCCTCAACCACCGCCCCGCCCACCTTTCCTTGTTTCTGCCCATCTGTCACTACCCTGGCAGTCAGGTAATGCACCTCAGGTTGTGGCTCTGCAGGAAACTCCAGCCTAGAGAGGGTGAGCCCCCTGCCCAGGGTCACACAGGTCAAAGAGACACTTGGAACCCAGATTCCAAGTTCAAATTCCAGGCTTTCCCTACTGTACCCAGGACCTCCTTTCTGTCTTCCTCGTTTCCTGTTGTAAAAGTGACCCAACCTTTTTGCCCCCCTCTCCTGTCTTCACCCCCTCACCCACACACACGTCTTTCACAGATCTAAAGTTGTTTTTTAGGAGTTCTCTTTTCAGAATAAATCACCCTTCAGATACTTGTCCAAGCCCCTCTATGCCTCCAAATGACCCCAGCAGGCCCTACCCTCCTCTGACCTGTAGCCCCTCCCCCCCACACACGCTATGTACATATACACAGTCTGCATATACATAAATATATATATACACCTATGCATGTATAAGCATACATACACACATGCATGCACAATGTACATATACGATACACATCGACCTACATGTACATACACACATGTACATATTACATACATTGTCTGCATTATACACACATACAATATACTTAGACACCTATGTGCACACATGCACAATAATGTAAATACCTATGCACACATGTACATGCATGCATACTTGTACACGTATGTGTTTTATGCATACACATACACACCTACACACATATACAGTACACCCATGTGCTTATACATGTATGTGTGCGTGTGCAGGTATTGTATACACGCGTGCGTACATGCATACACATGCCTTCGCACATACATGTACACTCATGCATGCCCGTTTTTACTTGTGCACATACACGCCTTGCACTGACCGTTTCTGACCCTCTCTCAGGATCAACCTCCCCTTGCTGGATCGCACGGTCCCTGACTACACCAGCTTTAACACGGTGGACGAGTGGCTGGAGGCCATCAAGATGGGCCAGTACAAGGAGAGCTTTGCCAACGCTGGCTTCACATCCTTTGACGTCGTCTCCCAGATGATGATGGAGTAAGTGTTGGGCCTGCCTAGGCTGCCCTCGGCTCCCCCGCCGGGTCAGTTTCCTTGCCAGCTCCCTCCCAGGTCAGAAGCAAGGACAAGCCCAGCCTTGTAGGCCTGCCCTCCCTGCCAGCCTCTGTGAGGAGGGTGCCAGCCGGTTAAGGGAAAGGGGCCTGCTTCCAATCTTGGCCTTGGAGGAGTAACTGAAGAGGGCCAAACTCTCACTGGACACAAGCCAAGCGTCTACCTACCAGGGTCTGTCTCATAGGTGGCAGACTGGGTGAGGCTAGAAGCTCAGGACAGCTTCCCATGAATCAAAGAGCATTTATTAAGTGCCTACTGTATGCCAGGAGCTGGGGATACAGAAACATAATGAAAAACCTGTCCTCGAGGAGCTTCCATTCTGTCAGGGGAGATAACCGATATACTTAGAACAGATATGAAGTGATAGGAGGTAGTTTGGAGAGGGGGGCACTCATGGTCCTTTCCTTCATTACCTTGTGTGGGAGTTTCTGTGATTCCCTGATGGTTTTTTTTCATTGGATTCAGCCACAGGGGTCTGGGGATTCGTCCTTTCCATGTTAGATAAGAGGGAGATGTCTGGGGAGGGAATGTGCTGCAGTCCATCCATCTGCAGGAACACGGCTAGATCACAAAGGGAAATTGACTGTGAGGAGATCTGGCCCCAGGCCCCGGTAACTAAAACGCACCTGAGAGTGTCTGATGAGGCATTTACTCTTCTCGCATAGAAAGTGATCTGTAGCAAAGAGGAGAGGTGAGATCTGAAAGTTCCCCGAGCCAAGCAAGTGGTACTTAGAGGAGGCTGAGTAAGCTCGGGCAGAAAAAGGGAAGGTATGAGGCAGAGCTTGGGGGACCGGGAAGGAGGGGGCAGTAATTCCAGGGTCTGGCAGCCCAGCGGGTCGCAAGCCCTCCAACCACAAAACAACAACTGGTGTTTCTGCACCCACAGCAAGGAATGAAAGTGGTTTATGACTGGCCACTGGAGGCTTTGAGCCCTTGCCGTAACCCATGCAATCTGACAGATTGAAGAATCAATACACCTCAGCCATGGAGAGCTGCATTTCTTGGTATTAAAGGAATTAGAAAAAGTCATATTAAAAAGCAGCCCTCATCGAACCTCTCCAGGTGTTGTGCCCTAGGCAAGCTGCCTGCCTTGTCTACTCCTAATCCCACCTCATCCTGACAGCCCAGGCATAAAGTAGTAAGCCAAAGACCCCAGAGGAAATCATTGTCGACTAATCAATTCGATGGAATCAGCAAATACTTATGAAACACCTACCAAGCGCCCAAAGGTAGGAGGATGCAAAAACGTATAAGACGTGGTTCCTCGCCCCCAGGGAGATTAGTTTCTCGTTAGGGAGCTAAGACATGACCACAGGAAGAGTCGAATAATAACCCAAGTCTGAGCTAACAGTGAAGCCCCTACTGCCTTCTCAAATAAGGTCATGGGTATAAAGTGCTTGCAAACTGTAAAGCGTGAAATAAATGTGGGCACTTACTATAATTGTTCTCATTTTAGGAAGGACATTAGCAACAACTGTCGTAACAGTTAGCATTTATACAGTGCTTTAAGTCTACAGCGTGCTTTACAAAGATTCTCTAACCCTGAAAGGTAGGTGCTATTGTTATCCCCACTTTACAGATGAGGAAACTGAGGCTAGTTGAAGTTAAAGTGATTAGCCCAGGGTCACACAACTAAATGTCTGAGATTGGATTTGAACTCAAATCTTTTCAGTTCTGGGCCAAGTGCTCTATCCACTGTGCCACCTCGCTGTTCTACTGGTATTATTATCCCCATTTTACAGATGAGAAGTCACCCATAGTTATACAGCTAGGAAGTGTCAGAAGTGGGTTTTAAATCCAGTTATCTCCTGATTCCAAGTCCAATACTCTTTCCACTATAGTACAGAGTCCTAAAGGCAGCTAAGTGGCATCATAGTGCATAGAGCAGGTTCCTCACCCCCTGGCATAGAGTGCAGGGCCTGGAGTCAGGAAGACTCATCCTCCTGAGTTCAAATCCAGTCTCAGACACTTCCTAACTGTGTGACCCTGGGCAAGTCACTTTACCCTGTTTGCCTCAGTTTGCTCATCTGTAAAATGAGCTGGAGAAGGAAATGGCAAATCACTCCAGTATTATTGCCCAAAAAAACCCAAATGGCATCACAAAGAGTCAGACGTGACTGAAAAACAACTGAACAGCAAAAACAAAGCCTTAAATTAGAAGACTCCAAAAATTGGTAGGTGGGCTAGTGAGGGACCTGGAGATCAGACCATACAAGGATCAGCTGGAAGAGCTGTCAGCATTTAGCCTTGGAGAGAGAAGACTTGGGAGGGCCACGAGAGCCGTCTTCAGGCGTTTGGGGACTGTAGTGTGGATGATGGCCTTGTTTCGCTTGGTCCCTCGGAAGGCAGAATTGGAAGCGTGCAGAGTGGGAGGGATGTTGCAGGGAGAGAGAGCTCCCCAAGCCAAATGGGCTGTCTCACAAGGCTGGAGGTCTTTGAACTTGGGCTGCCTGATGACTCAGAGGGAATCTTGCAGAGACTCCGGGACATCTAGCTCAGGTCCAGGTTAGAGACCCCTTCCAACCCCAAGAAGCCGTGATTCCTCTCCCTCTCCTTGGCTCTCTCCTTTTGGACCATCGGTCACCAGGCACGAGCCAGCAGCAGGGCCAGGTCCCACCATGGCCGCTTTCCCTCTGTGAGCTCCGATCTTCACACGTTCTTTACTCATTCCCACAAGCTGCAGACATGATTAACGGCAAGCTTTAAAGGGCTGTGAGTTCAGAGCAGGGAGAGGCATCTGAGGCTACGTTCAGAGTGGGGACAGAGGGAGTGGGAGAACGACAAAGGTGGACTGTCACATTCTAGCCTTCTGGCTCCTTCATCCAACACATGCTTTTTGTGTTTCTTCCCCAAAGGGACATTCTTCGTGTGGGCGTCACTCTAGCTGGTCATCAAAAGAAAATTCTGAACAGTATTCAGGTGATGCGAGCGCAGATGAACCAGATCCAGTCGGTGGAAGTTTGACCTTCATCCCGCTTTCACCGTCCTCTTCCTCACGGCCCTGCTCCCCTTTGCCTCTGTGTGCCCCGGTCCCAGTTTTTGAGAGTCCTATGTCCAACCACAGAGCCACCCACCTGCTCTGAGGACAGTGGCAACAGGTGGAACCCCTCCAGCCGAGAGAAGTCATCAGAAATACCGACAATTGAAGCAATGGGAAAAAAAAAAGAAAAGAAAAGAAAGAAAAAAGGGAATGGGAAAAAAAGATATTTTGGGGAATACCATATGAAAACTATTTTTAAAGAACAAATAATGAATGAAGAACCGCGATGACAGTCTTGAAAAGGGCTCGTTAAGATTTTTTTTTTTCCAGTCTGAGACCAAAAGCCGTTTCTTCATCTCCCTCTAAGAAAGAGAATGATCCCACACCTGCTTGACCAAGACCAGAAGGAGAGGAGTGTTTTCAGGAAGATGAATGTGAAGAGAAGACTGGCCCTCCTCTTCTCCCTCAGAAGGCTGCTATCCCTAGCATCACCTGACAGCCAGTCCTCCCTGAGGCCTCAGTTTCCCCTCAGGGACACAGAAGTGGGCAGGTAGCCCAGGGGGCTTGAGGAAACATTCCCCCAAAATGGACCTGCCCCAACTCAAACTGATGAATTCTTCAGGTTTGAAGATTTCAACAAACTGAAAACGGAAAACAAAAAAAAAAAAAAGAATGAGAGAGAGAGAGAGACTTTTTGTTTGTTTTTGCAGGGGGCTGATGGGCACAGCCCTCCACTCCCCGTAAGAAGGGGAGGACACCATACACAAGCAATGGCCCAGTTCTTGCAAAAGACTGCTTTTGTGAGAGCCACCTTTGCCTGGGCATCTCCGTACACCCTACAGTGGCACCACCTTCTCATACATATCACATGCACAAAATTTGGAGTTGGGTCTTCACCACGTGCCAATGACCTCTTCCTTGTCTTCGGGCTCTCCCAAGGCCCGGGAGCAAGCAGATCGGTGACTGGTGCTAAAGCATTGGCTATGATTGCCATCGGGGAAGATTTGTCCTGTTGCTTGGTTTGTTTACACCAATTTTGTGGGGTTGGGTTTGTTTTGTTGGGTTTTTTTTTAAATGACAATGAAGTAACACTTTGACGTTTCCTATCTTTTAAGGACTTGGTCCTTCTCCTGGTAGGAGGACATTTACACGTATTGACTAGGCAATATACCAAGGGCAAGATTTTATATGCCCATTTCCTGATTTTTTTAACATATGATTTCCACTACCCCGTAGGGTTCCCATCCACCCTGTCGTCCCATCTCACCAAAGCAAAGGCCACTCCAGGGCTGAGCAGAACTTGTGGGAAGGCAGGCAGACATACAGGCAGGTAGGCATGGGATGGAGAGGGGAGTCACTTTACACCCCAAGGTTACAACTCTTAAACAGATGCCCTTGGATGGGAAAAAGAAGTTAGGTCAATGCCAGCCCTACCTGTTTGGAAATTAGAAGGAGGGGTGAGTTTAGGGAAGCAAGAAGTACCCGGGACTGACGAGCAAAACATAGTCACTAATCCTAATATTCAGTGTTTTTGGACCAGCCCCCAAAGAGAAAAGGTCCAGCAGAGCCACCAGCATTGCCCTTGACTGCTCTGAAAGGAGCAAACCTAGTTTAGTATAGCAGAGGGCCCCGAGAGAAAGTGCCCTAGGAGTTTGGACCATACTGTGTCAGAGGCCAGGACCTGAATCATTCACTGTGATACCTACCCCATGAGATGGTTTTCCCCGTCCCGCAGAGACTCTGCAGGTAACAGGCTGCTTCTTCCTCTGGGGAGATTTGGTGTCTCTCCCAGCTCTAAGACCGGACTGTTGGCCGGGAGAGAACGGCTTGGCTGAGGGGGCTGTCCTTGGTGGACAGGTCAGAACACAGGTGCTGCTGTGTCTAAGTCCCTCCAGGAGCAAATGCAGATATTTCGATGGAACAGTCAAGTATAGTGAATGGTACTGGAATAAACACGTTAGTTACATGTCGGACCCCTGTTCTGTGTAAGTACCAGGTGGACTGGGGAGATTCCCCAGGAGCCTTGGGGTGGGTTAGCTGGGCCGAGGGGCTTAGCCTGCCTTCCCAGAGAAACACCACCACCCCTGCTTGCCATTGAATCCCCTCAGCTGGATTCAACAAATATCTATTAGGGAAAAGCCACATAATTTAGCTGATCTCTAGTCCTTGCCCTCAAGGAGCTCCCAGTCTAAGAGGAGGATCTGACAGAAACACAGTTCAGTCAGTCAATCAATGAACATGGTGCTGAGTTAGACACTGTGCTAAGTGCTAGTACTTAGTACAAAGTACAGCCCCTGGCCTTAAGGATGTTTCTTTCATACATAATACTACTCCATCTGAACATTAGAGGGGTGCAAACATACTCTGTTAAGCCTGGGAAGGAATAGAAGACAGATCAGAGAAAGTTTCCTGAAGGGTCAGCATTTGAATTGGATTTTAAAGGATAGACAGACATCTAACAGGCTGACAAAGGGAGGGAGGGCATCCTTGGCATAGGGAACAGCATGGACAAAGGCATGGAGGAAGGAGACAAACAGTAAAAAGGTAGGTTAGGGGCAGCTAGGTGGTGCAGTGGATAGAGCTCTGGCCTTGGATTCAAGAGGACCTAAGTTCAAATCCAGCCTCAGACACTTGACACTAGCTGTGTGACCCTGCCCCAATTGCCTCACTAAAAAGCAAAAAAAAAAACAAACCAAAAAAAAGAGGTAGGTTGTTAGCCCATTACCCCATTGCCAGGTAAGTGTTATCATCCCCACTTGACAGATGATGAATCAGGCTCAGAGATGACATCATTTGCTCATGGTCACGTGACTAGTGCCCATCAACAAGCATTTATTAAGCTCCAGGATGGGCTCCCATCCTTCTGTATTTACTTTCACTGGCATTCCCAGAGGACACATTGTCCAGCATGGCACAGATTGCCTGGGGTGTTCTGTGGTAGCCTCCCTTTAAAGACCGTGTCCAGGCGGGGTTTTTGGCTGCCCTCAGCCACCCACAAGATAAGCCCAGCAGCTATTCCTTGGGCCCCGAGGAGAGTTCAACAGCTGGCATTGGCCAGCTCAAGGAAAGGGTGATGCCCGTGACTAGGCACAGACCAACTTCTGTGCCCCCAGCTTCTTCCTCCCTTTCTTTCTCCCTCAAAGGAGTCCAAAGAGAGGATGCCAGTCAGTGCCATTCGGCCTTAATGAGATCAATTCTCTGGTGTCCAAATGTCATTGCTACCATCCCAGGAAGGAAAGAGGAAGTCCAGCCTAGTGACACCCTACACACACACACACACACACACCCTTCTATCATCGGGGACATAGTTTGATTTGATCAACATTTATTGAGCACCTACTATATACAATGCATCATGCTAGCCCCAGTAACACAGAGACATAAAAAAAAGGCTGTCTTTGTCCCCAAAGGCAATTCTTCTGGGAGAACACAGCAAGTATACACCAGTGAATAAATATAAAACCAGTTCAAAGTAATATAACTTCAAGAAGAGAATGCTAATGATTTGGGGAGTGGGGCATAGAAGAGGGTCAGGAAGGGTCACATGCAGGAGATAGCATCTAAGCTAAGCTTTGAAGGATTCTGGGACTGGGGTGCATTCCAGCTCTGGAGGACCGGTAGTGCAAAGGCACCTGAGGTAAGAGAGGAAAACGTCATGCAGAAGGACCAGCTAGCAGATCCGTGTAACAGGAACAAAGAGTGTTAACGTCAATAATAGGAAACAAGCCTGGAAAGGTAAGTGGGAGCCATATTTTGGGGGCTTTAAAACAGTTCATTCAAAATGACAGCTAATCCCTAATCCATTTCTCCTGGTCTGGAGGTACACATTTTTATTTTAATTGCCTCCAGATGCCTTTCCTAATCATTGTAGAATCTCAGAAGTCACTGACAGTAGGTCATACCTGTGCAATAATCCTTCCGGCAGCAGCAACCACTCAAAAGTCTCCAGTGACCCGTCAGGAACACTGCCTCCCAAGGCAGCCAGTGCTACTTTGGGCCAGCTCGTTACTTACGTTACGGCGGATTCCACTTCCCTATAACTTTGACTTGTCCATCTTAGCTGTGCCCGCTAGCCTGAAAGCAAGACAAGTCATGCCTCATGCCCATGTTAGACCTACAGATGGAGGAAGTCAACTACCACCTTCTCCTAGGTCTTCGCATGTCCAAGTTCTAAGGACATCCCCAGCTCTGTCAGTCAGCTGAGTCTACAAGCCACTTTCCGTCCTAGTCAGCCTCTGAAATGGTTCTATGTCTTACATAAAATATGGCTCTGAGAATGAACAAAATGTCCCCAGAGGGGTTTGACCAGGGTAGAGAACCATAGAAACATCACCTTCCCAGCATCCCTTTAAGAGATAGGATGTAAGAGCTAAGAGGTCCCTTAGAACACAGACCGTCAGAGCTGGGAGGGCCTTTAGAACAGAGAATGTCAGAGCTGGGAGGGGCCTTAGAACACAGGATGGCAGAGCTGGGAGGGGTCTTAGAATACAGAATATCAGAGCTGGGAGGGCCTTTAGAACATAGGATGTCAGAGCTGGGTGAGCCTTTAGAACACAAAATGTCAGAATTGGGAGGGATCTTAGAACAGAGAATGTCAGAGCTGGGAGGGCCCATAGCAGGGAGAATGTCAGAGCTGATCAATTATAATAATAAGTTATTAAGCACTTACTAAGTGCCAAACTTTGTGCTCAGTGCTAGGGATATAACTAAAGTCTTTTGTGGGTTTATTCCCAGGAAAGTGCATTCTAACAGAAGAAACGATGCAAAGACCTGATAGATACAAGACGTATGCAGAGTAGACAAAGGCAACGTAGAAGGGGCCCTTCCCATGGAAGGCAGCATTGGAGCTGAGGGATTTGGGGGCTTGGGCTAATACTGAAGCCAAGCTACATGCTCCAGGTGCCCATTAATGGACATTGGGCGGAGAATCTGGGAGAGAGCTGGCCTAGGGGGATTTGTTATCTGTAGCTGACTAGTAATAGCTCCCTGGAGAGCTGGGCAGACTGGTCAGGGCAATCTGAGAAAGGCGAGCCAGCCAGGCAGACAGGGAAGGGGGTGAAATGTGGTCAGGCCGCTGAGGGTCCCCAGAAAGCCCAGGGCTCGTCATCAGATCAATATCTACCAGGTAGTAGCAGCACCACCACTGGGAAAAGGGGAGGTGTGAGTGGC